TCCCTCCATGCTTCATTTCCCTGAATCACTGCTTCCCTCTCCAGAGACCCTGTGCTCCATGGGCATGGTGCAACAGCTGGTGGCTCTGATCCGCTCCGAGCACAGCCCCTTCCATGAGCATGTTTTGGGGGCCCTCTGCAGGTGAGATAGGAATGGGGGTGAGGAGCTCGGAGGCCCGTCCCTCCATGCTTCATTTCCCTGAATCACTGCTTCCCTCTCCAGAGACCCTGTGCTCCATGGGCATGGTGCAACAGCTGGTGGCTCTGATCCGCTCCGAGCACAGCCCCTTCCATGAGCATGTTTTGGGGGCCCTCTGCAGGTGAGATAGGAATGGGGGTGAGGAGCTCGGAGGCCCGGGTTGGGGGCCTATAGTGACGAGAGCAGGGGACGTGAAGGGGGCGGGGAGCCAGTGGGAACGATGGGGGCGTTGGGCTTGGTCTGTGCAAAGTAACACCTCCCCCCGCTCTGTGCCCTGCCCAGCCTGGTGACAGACTTCCCCCAGGGGGTGCGGGAGTGCCGGGAGCCCCAGCTGGCGCTGGAGGAGCTGCTGAAGGAGCGCTGCCAGCTGCTGCAGCAGCAGGAGGAGTTCCAGGTAGGGGGAGGGGCTCTGTTGGATCAGAGCCACTCGTGTGTTGTCCCGGGGCACCCTCCTCTAGCCCCCCGACCTTGCCCTGTCCCCTCCCCCAGCACTGGGTGCTGCCCGTTTCTCCAAGCCGCACCCCATCTCCCTAGCTGTGCGCTAGGGTGCACTGCTCTCTGCCCATCCCCAGTAGCTATGCCTCGTTCCCCCTGCCAGGTGCTATGGGGCACCAACCTCCATCTCCCCCCTCCAGCTGTGCCTTGTGCCCCTTGCCTTGCACTGGGGGTGCTGCCCTGCATTTGCAGGTTTACTGCAGCCCAGTGGCCCAGAACCTCCCCGGCACTGAGCCAGCCGTGCCCTAACTCCACGCTGTCAGTAGATCTCACGGCTAACGGCCCGTTGCCCCCCCGCCATGTCTGCTCCCACCTCCCCTGAGGTTCCTTCCCAAGCGGGATTCCAACTGGACTGTGGTGAACTTCCCCACAGCAGTGTCAGGACTGGGTCTCCTGGAGCCTGCAGCACTGTGCCCCCTAGTGCCTGCACCAGAAGTGCCCGGCTGAGGAGAACACACCCTGCTGAGCCCCCGCCCCTCAACACCCCCTCTAGGTCTCCCATCCATGCTACGACCCACCCAAACCCTGCTCAGCTTGGGATCTGTCCCACCTTGCTGGATGTGGGGTGGCCTAACAGCCTCTCTGCTGCCCTCTGGCCCCACACAAGTGGGGTAGGGAGAACCGGCTCTGCTCACACCTGTGCCTTTTGCCCCCCACCTCTCCAGGAGGAGTTGGAATTCTGTGAGCGTCTTCAGCGTGTCTGCTTCCAGACGCCTCCCGAGGACAGCAGCATGGATCGGTGACTGCCCATGGCACCCCAGTGCCGCCTGGGATCGGTGACTGGCCTGGATCAGTGACACCCCACAGCCCCTCCTGTGCTCCTGAGGATCAGTGACTGGGTCTGGAGTTCCCCCTGGAGTGGTGACTGCCCACAGCATCCCGTCCCCCTCAGATTGGTGACTGGCCCTTGTGTCCACTCCCCTGGATTAGTGTATGCCCATGGCCCCCCCCTCGTGCCTGCCCTGCAGGTCGGTGTGTTCTCTGGCACCACCAGGGCAGGGGACTGGCTAACTGCTGGGGGAATGAGGCATAGGTTTCCAGGGGGGCGCAGGCTGTGATCTGGGCCTGCCTGGGGGCATGGGGTGCTGTCTAGCAGGGGAGCCCAGAGGGTAGATGCTGTGCCCAGTGCTGACACATGCCCCCTGTGTTGGCAGGTCCAAGGGGCAGGGCGGGGGCTGAGCTAAGGTGGGTGCAGCATGGGGTCCCCAACAGCCCCTCCCACTCTGCCTGTTCCTATGTTCTTGTTGCTAATGGTTCTCTAATAAAGGTTTTGCATTGGGTGGCCCCTATTCTGTCTTCTGCGGAACAGTACGAGGTTTGGGGGGGAGCTGAGCCCGAGGCAGGGGGGTGGGGATGGCGAAATGGGGCGCGGAGTGGAGGCTGGCTGTCCGGTGCTCTCAGCCCGGTGCTTGTGGAGAATGTGGGTGCCCTGAGGCCCCAGGTCGGCTGATGATGTCACAATGCAGAGCGATGATGTCACAGTGGTTGATGATGTCACTGTGTGGGGCGGGGTCCCCATGGCAGAATGCTGTCCCCCTGTATGACTCATTGCAGTGATGTCACACAGTGAGATCAGAGGGGCTCTGAGGATGAGGTCACAGCTATGATGTCAAAGTGCTGATGTCAGGTGGGAGGTGGCTGATGACGTGGAGCAGGGTGATGACGTCACACCTGGGCAGTGATTGGGTTGGCGATGATGTCATACTGTGGAGCCTGATGATGTCACACCCAGTCTCAGTTAATTACGTAGTTACGTCTATTTCTGAGGAACCACAGAATTCTGCGCATGCGCCATGCCTTTGCTCTAGGCGGGAATAAAGGCAGGAGGCGCGAGAGTTGGGTATGTCTGGGCGCATAGGGACCCCCCCCCCGTCTGCTGGGCGCATGCGCAGACGGGGCGTTGAGGAACTAGGGGCGTGTGTATTCCGAGGCAACGTAATGAAACACCTATGCGTACGTAGCTGCCCCTGAAAGGCGAGCGCTGATTTTTTTGCGCATGCGCAGCTCAGCTCAGGGCTGAAGCGTAAGAGTGGAGCGCGTGCGCAACGCCCATCGTCCCCCGGGAAACAGGCGCTCGAAGGTTCTGGGCATGCGCGGCCCTAGCCGCCCCGCCTGCCTCCCCCCCCCCCCCCCCCCCCCCTGCCGAGGGAGGAGGCAAGGCCCGCGCTCGGCGCATGCGCTCGGCTCCCGCAGAGGGGGTGGGGCTGGCAGCGAGAGGGGGCGGGGCTGGCAGAGAGCGGCCCGCTGCTCCGGGCGCGGGGCATTGTGGGATCGCGGCGGTGCCTGGAGACCTGGGGGGGCCCGGTA